TTTAGTATTCTATACTTTTGATAAAAGTGTCATTTTCAATCCATGTTAGTACATATCATGAAAATATCAACGAAAAGATAGGCAAAACCTTACTTGTAGCCCATCATCTTGTTAAATTTGAAGGTTTTAACACCTCACCTTATACTATGACATTTTTATCCCTTCACCTTACTAGATTTATAGGTTTTAACTCCTCACCTTATATTAAGACATTTTTAGCCCCTCACCTTATATTAAGACATTTTTAGCCCCTCACCTATTAAAATTGAAGAAAATAGCCCTCACTTTGTAATATTTTGTTAGTTTTATTAGCTGACTGTTAATTTTATTAACTGACTGTTAGTTGATTGTTAACTGTTAAAAACTTTCTTTCAGCTAACAGAGTTAACAAAACTAATTTTATAATATTTTGTTAATTCTGTTAATTAACTATTAGTTGACTGTTAGTTGATAAAAATCTACTTTTAGCTAACAGAATTAACAGTCAGTTTAAACTGAGGGCTATTTTTTTTAATTTTAATAGGTGAGGGGTTAAAACTTACAAATCTAGTAAGGTGATGGGCTAAAAGTGTTATAATATAAGGTAAGGGACTAAAACCTTCAAACTTGGTAAGGTGAAGGGCTCAAAGTGGGTTTTTGCCTAAGAAAATATGTAAATAAAGATATTAATTATGTAATTTTATTTAAAAATATTAATTTTATCAGTTTCTAAATAAATATGTTAACTTTAAAATTTTTTTATTTAAGTATATTAATTTTAAATGTTTTTATTTAAAAATATCATTTTTTTTTCTATTTAAAAATTAGTTAGACAGTGATATTGACATGAAAAATAGACTTTTTAACCATAATATTAAAAGTTAGTATCTTTAAATAAAAAAAATTAAAAGTTAACATTTTTAAATAGAAAAAGTTAAAAACTAACATTCTTTTTTAGAAATTATCAAAATTAACACACTTAAATAGGCAAAGGTGTAAAATTGATATCTTTATTTTCACTTCTTTTTCAAATATCAATCTAAACCAAGAGAAACTTTCTCTATTCCTTTTTTTTTTTTTGGACAAGTGACAATTAAGATAAAAACAAAAACACGAGGAATTAGGAAATATAGGGGAAAAAAATATTACCATTGTTCTTTTTTTTTTTAGTAAATTGTTTAATTAACTAGACCTTAAAAAATCAAGAAAAAAATTTAAAATAATGTCAGTTCATTAAACTCACATTTAAAAATAAAACTAAATTTTTTTAAATATTTTCTTGTCATATTTAAATGAAATAATATTATTTTAAAATATATTTTCTCCTATTTTTTTAAAAATGCACAAATGATCTCTTATTTTCGTGAATTCTTACAAAAAAAATAAAATTGTCATTAAAAAGCAATCACTTTCACTATTTCTTTTTCACACAAGTCAAATTTATCTTTACTTTTCTATCTAAGAGGTAAATTTAAGATTTTTTCTTTACATAATACTTTATTAAAAAAACTTAGTTTTAGGGTTTCTTCTTACCTAAAGCACTTGGACCACAACAGTTATAAGCCGAATTGTAGTGTACCCCACCCAAAAATTAGGATTCAAATGCCCCTCTCTTTGTTAAAAAAAAAAAATTTCTTTTTCACACGATGCCATTGCTTGGAGCAGTGGTACACGAATTTGGACTTTTGCACGGTTTTGAGTCTTTGACTATTGGAACAGTCCAATCTTCTTTTATGAACAAGTACAATTTAGGCAGGGTGGAACAGCGTCACGTTTGGCCCAAATTCTAATTATTATTAAAGTATTTAATGTACTAAACAAAATTCAGAACGGTTCAATCGTTGACGTGGATGTTGAGTCATATTTGACAAATAGCAGGGGCTCGTGATTCAATAGCTCCGTAACTGTAGCATTTCCCGTGACACCCACGGGGTGTTACTTAGGGTGTGGCCTACCAAGATTGACCCTGGAGACGCATGGGTTCTGGGAATATGGGTTTTACGGTCCTTAACGAAAAATGTTGAGAAAAAGGCAACTTTCTACGCATGAAAATGTTTTTTTTTTTTTACCTCTAGGTCCTCACATTATCACTGCTTTTATCTTTGTATAATAACCTGAATAATTTCTAGATTTCTTGTAATTATTATATTTAATTATGTGTAGATATAATTTTAAATTTAAAAAATTATAATCTAATTAAATTAAATTAATTTAAAGATTTAATTTAAAATTAATATCTTTTAATTTAAGATTATTATTTTCTCTAAATAAAATTTAAGAAAATATAGAATCTACTGTTTAACTCTATTCCTCTTCTTGAAATAGATTTAGTTTCACACAGTAAATGCTTTTTCTCATATCCAATCATCTTCTTCTCTTATAGTTTAATTCTAAGATTTTAAAAATGAGTATATTTGATTATCTTGATATCTTGTTCTTACATATTTTTTTAAGTCTTTATTGCTAAAACCTAATATTGTAATCTCTAGATCTCTTATTACATTTGTTATTAAGGTTTTGTCTCAAATCTCACATTAACATCTTAGATTTCACATCAAAATCTTAAATTCTAATGAGTTTTCATGTATTATCACAGGGGTTTATTGAATTACAGTAAATGAAGAAATTTACATTTAGATTATGAATACATTTAATTGTGACACCCAATTTGTTGGGTTGCTATGGGATATCCATGAACATTGCGGGAGAACAGTAAATAGTGTAAATACAAATATATATTTATTTGAAAATACAAATATATATATATGTATATTGGATATTTATAAGAGCAATTAAGGCAAAAGGTGCAGATCACCCCCTCAACTCAACAATTGGTGGCAAATCACCCCCTCAACACACTTCACGCGCAAATCAACCCCTCAACTCACCTGCAGTGGCAAATCA